CAGATGTTTCTCAAATGCCACATACTGGGGCTCCTACGTTGAATGTAGCACCTGACCTTCTACATAATTGACGAAAAATATTGATGTAATGACACAAGTCTGATTGTGATTTATTAAAACCACTGGCAATCCCAGGCAGGCTGCCAGCATTGCAGCCTAGTGATCACATGGCATTAGGAAAGTCATCAATATCAAAGCAAATATAAATAACATTAATGGGAAAGTATTAGAGATTCAAGACCAAATCCAGCAGAGGTTTTTTTGTGTGTATGCAAGAGGCCACCTGTACAATACACTGCACAAGGAACATGCTTTATGTTGAACCCCTAGTCTAATAATTATTAAAGGTTAGTTTTGAATGAACATTTCTATCATTGTGCAGAATTTAGATATGAATAAGAAGAATCACTAACAATACAACAACCTCATTTTCCCCTTCCCACCATGCTCACCTCTCTCCCCTTTTCCTTACAGCCAAAAGGATATTATGCACATGGATTTCTTCATGACTGCTATTCATTCTGGCAACCAGGTTAGATATTTAACATGGTCGAATACCCATTTATATTTCATCTTCAACCTTACCTGACCACTAAAATAAATTGTTTGGTTTACTAAATATCTCAAAAAATCTGAAGTAGTTTGGAAGATGCAGAATAATTTTTTTTAAAAAACACAGGATACTTATTATCAGATCTATATTAGGAGAGATTGTACGCACCCATTTTCCACAATTCTTGATGAAGAAACATCTACCTCCTTTCTGTTATTTTTTTTAGTGAAATATATATAATTAATGCATTGCTATTTATTAATGTTAGGAATTAATTATTCATTAGTGAAATATTTTCATCCTGAATTCAAGCAAATTCGCATATTTCACAAGTGTAGTGTCATGTAACGTCATAATAGAACCAAAGCAATATGTACATTTCTGCAGCTGTTTCACTCCTGGCTAAACCAAATGCTTATTAACATATAGGCAGGCAATTAGGTATTGAAGTTATGACATGAGGGTATGACGTAATATCAAAGTAAATTAACACCTTAGCTACTCATCTGAAGTCAGCAGTGGACTTGTTAAACCTTGGAGCTCACGATTAAAGTCATGATTTGTTTGCTTAAATAATATGTAAATCTAGATCTATTCAAACTCTCAGCAACAACAACAAGAAGATTACATTTTTATAGTGCATTTCACGTCAAGAGGACATCCCAAGGAGCTGAATGGTGGAAAATAATAGACAGGCTTGCCTGGCAGCTTCTCAGCCCAAAGTATTATCACATTAACTTCCATAGAAGATAATCTATGGAATCCTGGCCTCCTCAACTCCAGCTTAATTTTAGAATCATAGTATATTTTCAATACAGTTTACCTATAGCAGAGGTGTGACAGCTACATACTGGATCGCTCGTCTCTACCAAACTTTCCTTTGGCATACTAAAAGGCGTACTAAAATCCTTCGACTTTGTTTGCTTTAACTCCTGAAAAGTTTTTAATTCATACTTGGGAGAGGGTGGGGGGGGGCAGAGTCCCACAAATTATTACACTTACTTGCTGAATTCACATGTGAGGTAATGCTTTGAAATAATGTTCACTTATTAACAAAAAATCAAAAATTGCAACTTTATTGATGATGTCCAAGATTTATCACTGTGTTCATCAGATGGATATTTGTCTTTATAGGCTTAGGTATTTAATCACACGTTTCGTGTCAGCACTCCCAAGACCATCTCCCATTAATTAGAACTATAAATGATGACCTGTCCAGAAGGACATCCATCCCCGTCTCCAAAGTGGACAGAAATGGTACAATTCGTATGATTGTTTGCAGTCTCCTCCTCCCATTTATTTAAAATTACTTTACTTGAGCAGGCGACCACTAAATTATCTAAAACTTCACACTCAGACCACATTCTAACAACCTCCCACTGGACGAGGTGCTACATTTACCAATTGGTTATATTGCTTACAAGCATTTAGTTATATAGCGTCCTTGTCCACTGGAAATTAAGGGATTTATAAAAATAATAATCCTTGCATTTGATATACCGCTTTTCACACCTTCTAAAGGTCTCAAAGCGCTTCACAGAGTATACTGTAAAGTGAATTGACTGTATAGTTGTGGGCGAATCACAGCAGCCAATTGTGCACAGCAGTGTCCCACAAAGAATGGTGGATTGAGTGATCAAATTATTTTTTTTAGGGATTATTATCCCCGGAAAAGCGATACTCCAGTCGACTAACAACTGGGTTTCTACTTACTGCTAGATAAACAGAAGCATGTGCAGTAAAGAAACTTGCCCAACATTTCGCCCTGCCGTGAATAGAACCCAGATCTCTCACTTGCAAGGCAAATGCTCTAACCACTGAGCTACAGGACTCCACATATTAGAGGAAACAATCACTTCTTCCACCCTGTAAGAATTTTCTTTTATTGTTCAGAAATCTATACTTTGTGCAGCCTCTTCATCATGAATACAGTTTGGGTATGAGTGCATATTTTGACACTCCTTCTTATAGTAACAATCCTTACATTTGATACAGCATCGAGTAAATCTCAAAATGCTTCACTAGATTTGCTGTAAAGTGTAGTGACTGTGTAATGACAGCAATGTCCCACAAATCGCTATGAAGTGAATGACCAATTTTATCTGGGGATTGTTGGCCCTGACACAAGGAGAACTCTCTTCTCTTTTTGAATAGTGCCACGGCATCTTTAATGTCCACCTGAACAGGTAGACAGGACCTTGGTATAATGTCTGAAGGACGACACCTCCAACAATGCAGTTCTCCCTCCTGCACTGGACTGGAATGTCAGCCTGGACTATATGAGTTTGAAGTCCCAACTTGGGGCTTGAAATCACAACTTTCTGGCTCAGAGGCAAGAATGCTACCAACTGATCCAGACTGAGATACAAGGAGCCAGGCTCTTTAGCACTAATACAAGCAACTCTCATTATTCTTGACTGAAATAGCCTCAAGATTGCAGTGTTGGACCGCAACAAGACTTCTTGAAAATTGCATTGAATTCCTGTTCAATGAAGTAAATCTAAGATAAATTAGATTTGATAAAAGAGACAAATATGCTATTCATTTTACAGTATATCATTGCAATACAGTATCCAAATAATCTCCAATGCCCTTTTCCTTACATTCCTATACAATAATTGCTGCCAAACAGAACAATTATGATTGCAATAATTATTTTCTGAATTGCTATTGACATAGTTATCTTTCTTTGACACCAAGGTGTTATTAAACCAATAAAGCTGACCAATTCTGTAAGCAAAATCCAGTGAGAAGAGATCTGTAGAATCAAGCTATTCTAACTTTAAGGAAAGGAACCACAAGGATACAAAAAAAAGATCTACTGCAGGAACATACATAGGTATTTTCGTGTTGGACAAAAGCAAAATATCAGGAAAAAACATACCAACAACTAGGGAGAGTTTTATGCAGTATGAGAAACTGTACGACTCTTACACAACTGCACAGATGATCAAATGCTTGAGAATATAGGGGCGTAATTGTAGCTTGATGGATGAAGAACCCGTTCCAAAATAAATGGAAGATAAATAAATGATGAAGAATGGATATTCACACATTGTGCAACAAACAGATTTAACCCATTTTGAAACTGACAGTAAAGGAGTTCAGAAATGTAATTGCTCCATTCCAAAGTAAATCTGTCCCAGTTTCCTTACATCTACAATCTGAATATAAAATTTAAAACAGAAAACCACAAGATGATGTTCAAAGGCCTCCTTTTTTGCCCAGTTGTCATAAAGGAACAGAAGCGGGGGGAGAATCAATTTCAATGGTTAATTTGGATATATATCCTGCACTAGTGTTGTTAAAGATTCAGATGTGACGTTTCATGAAGACGTCTGATGAAATAAGCTAAAACATTAGCCCATCTTTCTCTTCCAGTTTATCAATCTGCTGTGTAGTTCCAATCTTCAAGTTTTGCTCTTGTTATTGCTAGACTGGACCAGACATGATATCATTCAACAGCCCACAAGCCTTGTGGCCTACAGAAAGTCTGTGCATCAGTGTTTAAATATCCATTCTTATGTAGAATATTACAATATCCCGCATCAATCACTCTAGTTATCATTGGACTAATATTTTTATAAAGTTGAAGTCAATGGAAAATACTGCTTTTTTAAATCATTGCACTGTAATGTTATTTTACTTCTAAACCTTGTTACTGCTGAGCAACATACGTACCCATCAATCTGCCAACTTATTAATAGTAACTGCAAATTTCCATCAACAGAAATGCATAGATTACAAATTTGAGCAATTATTTACGTAATTTAAATATCTGTTATGGTATTGTTCCACATTTTAATTTCTCTAAAGATACCTACTTTTTCTCTGTCTATAATCATAATTTTTATTCATTCAATAGAAAAACAGCTATCAAACTATCCTGTGCTTTGTAATATTCAATCAAGTATACTTATTACTTGGTAGTGAACCTTTACTCTATCTTTCCTAGAGAATGATTTGAAGCATAATATAACTGAAGTGTTTTAAACACTAAGTCAGATATTTATTTCATATAACCCCAGTTGGCAAACACCAAAAACAGTTCAGAGACCTATCAAAAAAGCTTTAAGTTGTGCTCTTGAAACATTAAAAGGCAATATTTCTCTGTGGAAAAACAAACTGAAACTGATCGATATTGAGCATATCTAGATAAATAATTGTTTTCTTTCCTCACAATATGGCATCTTGAAAAGGTGGTACGTGAGGTGCACTCCATGTAACTTTGGGCAGTATTTTAGCATTTTACACTGAATAGCAATCACCAAGATTCCACACAGGATGGCAACATTTACACGCTCCATTATAATAGTACATTATCTCATTTTAAAGATAGAAAGAGCATATTCACTGAACCAGGCACCACATGAAAGTTTACAAAATGTTCACTTCCCAGGAACTTTATGCTACTAATAATAATGAAAAGTTCATAACCAAAGTTTACCTCTGTGAAGAGTTTCCCCAGGCTCCATGCTTGTCTGTCAAAATGTTGATTATCTTTTGTATCAACTGAGTGGATGTCACATGATCTCGGTACTTTGCTGCTCTTATCAAATGATCGCACATCTTTTCTTCTTCCCGTCTTTCTGCCGAGTACTGGGCACAAAGTGACTGTCAAGAAATAAGGAAAAATGGCGTATTTTTATTTATAACCTTATCATGCTCACAATCAGACAATCCAAGTCAAAAGGGCAGCAGGGAATAGAATCACTTTGTTAATATCTGTTCACTTGAAAGCCTATATTATCTTTCACACATTCACTCCATCCACTGCCATAAATCACATTCACTGATGATAATCAGAAGAATTGTTATCAAGATTTTTTTTTGGCAAAATGCACCTCTCCATCCTTCACTCTCTGGGAGGTGTCCAGTGCTGTTGTGTGTCAAGGCAAGTAGAAAGCTATAGCATGATCAGACTGGGGTGGTGTGACAGCGATTCTTCCACATTTGTCCTCCAGGAGATAATAGAAATGAAAGTCATTTAAACCAGTACATGTGATCACAAGTGGCTTTAAAATATCTAGCAAAGATATTTCCTCAGCCCATGTAATGTACAGTGGAGCCTCCATTATCTGGCATGATCAAAAGGGAGTTTCTGCTTTGCCAATTCTCCTGTTGACTCCTGTTTCTGCTTTGCTCAATTCTGCATTTTGGTTCCCAGCTCATGTGCAGTGGAACTGCTATTACCAACTCTACGGCAAATAGCCGAGGTTCAGTTGTATTTCAGAATTACCCATAAAGGTCAACCTAGTAGTAAGATTTTTTTTTCCTAGTGTTAAGATCATTGGTTTGAGCCACAAAACTATCAAATAACTTGAATAATGCTGTGTTAAGTGAATTTCAGCATTTAAGCTTTTAAATGGAAAAGCATGTTCAGCCTTTATCAGGAAAGGCTGAACATACTTGGACTCTTTTCTCTTGAAAAGAAGAGGATAAGGAGTGACCTGATAGAAGTCTTTAAAATTATGAAAGGTTTTGATAGGGTAGACATAGGGAAGCTTTTTCCACTTGTGGGGGAGACCAAAACAAAGGGCCATCAATATAAAATAGTTCCAAATAGATCAAATAGGGAAGTTAGAAGAAATTTCTTCACACAGAGAGTAGTGAACATGGAACATGCAACCCAAAGAGTTGTTGAGGCAAATAGCATAGATGTATTTAAGGGAAAGCTAGATAGGTAGATGAGGGAGAAAGGAATAGAAGGTTATACTTGAAAGTATGTTGAGGAAGGGCAAGAGGAGGCTCATGTGGAGCATAAACACTGGCACAGACAACAACAACAACAAACTTACATTTGTAGAGTGTCTTTCATGGTGGGATGACGTCCCAAAGCGTTGAACAGTCAGGGGTCGGAGCCCGAGCATGGGGGAGGGAGGGGTAGGGGTAAGGGAAGGCAGAGAGGTGGGAGGGCAATCAAAGGCACGATCGAAGAGAAGTGTCTTGAGACTGGCCTTGAAGGAGGCAAGGGAGGAAGCTAGGCGAAGGGACCAGTGGATGGAGTTCCAGAGTGTGGGGGCAGAGAGGCTGAAAACCTGGCCACCGATGGTAGGGCGGGTGGGGCGAGAGACATGGAGCAGGCCGGAGCCCGCTGAATGGAGGGAGCGGGCAGGTTGGTAGGGAGTCAACTGGTCACAGAGGTAGGAGGGGGCAAGGTCATGGATGGCCTTGAAAGTGAGGACGAGGATCTTGAATTCGATCCTCTGAGGAATGGGGAGCCAGGCGACAATGGGAGTGATGGAGTCACGGAGCTTGGTGCGCGAGAGTACACGAGCTGCTAATATTTGGATGATCTGCAGCTTGTGAAGGGAAGAGTTGGGAAGGTCGATGAGGAGAGAGTTTCCAAAACAGAGCTGTGATGTGACGAATTCATGGATAAGGGCAGCCTGAGGGGTGAGGCAGTGGCGGAGTCTGGCAATGTTGCGGAGGTGGTGGTACATGGAGCTGTACATGGTGCAGATGTGGGGGAGAAAGGACAGTTTAGGATCAAACAAGACACCCAGGTTCCTGACTGGCTTAGTGAGGTTAAATTTGCAGCCCTGGAGGCTGATGCTACCAGGGCCTAAGGTGCAGGGGCGCTGGCGCGAGCCAATCAGGAGGGCCTCGGTCTTGCTGACGTTGAGTTGGAGAAGGTTGTCCCTCGTCCAGGACTTGATGTCGGACAGGCAGTTGGTAAGGACGCCAGTAGTCCTGAAGTTGAGGGTGGAGGCAGAGAGACAGAGTTGGGTGTCATCCGCATACATGTGAAAATTTACCCCACGTTTGCGGATGATGTCACCAAGGGGGAGCATGTAGAGAGTGAAGAGGAGGGGACTGAGGACAGAGCCCTGAGGAACACCACATGAGACGGTGTGGGGGCTGGAGGAGAAGCCATTTGCTGTGATGAAGTGGAGGCGGTGGGAAAAGAAGGACCTGAACCAGTCAAGACCAGTTGGGCCGAATGGCCTGTTTCTGTGCTGCATATTCTAATATATTCTAATGTAAATGGAAGGTAAGCTTTTCCCCCATATTCCTGCTATTGTTCCTCTTTAAATATCTACCTTGTTTCCTCTAAAGCTAATATGGCATCTACCATAACCATTGCATCCAGAGCGCCATTCCACATTCTAACATCTCTGTGTAAAAAAAAGTCCTCATTTTCCCCCCTTGCTACCTTTCTAACTATTTTAAATTGATTTGTCACTCATTCTCACTCAACTACTGTTTAATTTGGGGGAACAAAAAATACACACATACCCTCTAAATTGATGCGTATGAGTATTTTCTTAGTCTATTTAATTTAGTTGATAACAGAAGCAGAGCACAAAAAAAATGATTTTTTGCAAATTCTAGGACAGACAGGAAAAAAATGGATACTTGGTATTTTAATATAGCCACATTTCATAATTGGAAAGAAATAATAAATACAGATAAGCTTTGCATGAAGCAAAGTCCCACAAGCAGTCATAAAGTAAACAGCAAATTTATTTGGAGGACTGTTGACTAAAGTTCCAGGATAATTTATTTTCTTTTTGAACAGATGTCATGGGGTCTTTCGTGTTCAACTGAAAAGGCAGATGAAATCTCAGGCTCATTTCTCAAACAAAGAATGGCACCTACATGACTAAAGTTCTCTTCCAGTACTGCAAATGGAGTGTCACGATGGACATAAGCTCAGCTCCCAAGATCTTGGAGCTTAAACCACGGCCTCTCACCCAAAGGCCATCCGAGCCAGAAGCAACAGGGCTACCATCCGAGCCACAGATGAGAGTATTGCATTTGAGCCAGAGGAACGGTGCCTATCATCTGAACCAGAGGTGAGAGTGCTACCATCCAAGCCATTATGAGCCAAACTGAGCCTAACGAAGTCACCGTGGAGAAATTTCAAAACACAGTAAAGAATACAACATCTTGGTTTTATAAACCTGTTCCTTGAATATGATTTCATGCATTGAACTTGATGTTGATCTTCAGGAGTGGTTGGTGTAAAACAAATATTCCCAGCATAAGAAATCCTATTATGATGCACAATATTATCAAAGGTATTTGTCATTTTAAATGTTATATATTATTTATACATTATATATTATTCAATCAATGTCTACACAATTCGGTTTCCTCTAATCTTTTGTTAGTTCAAAGATATTATGTAAACTGTAGTTCTTTTCTATCTGGTATAAAATATCTTGCAACATAGATGCAATTTAACAAATATTTGGTAAACAACAGGTTTATTTTGGATCATTTCGTATTGCCCGCACTATTCAAGAGGGCATTCATGCTTGCTAGCAGGTAATGTAAAAAAAGATAAGCATGTTTGTAGTCAGAAGATCTAGTGTTATGAAACTCGCAACATCACCTCTCTCCTTACACTTTATATGATCAATTTTAAGCTGTGGTCTAGAGGGGAAATCTTTTAATTACATTTTCTTTTACTGAGGATCACATATGTTTGAAGACCCATTCAATGTTTCTCTAGTAAATGTTCTGGCAGATGTATTACATATCCAGAAAAGTGGGGATTGGGAGGAAGAGAAGAAAACAAGCGGCTGGAGAAATGTGTACAATAAACGTCTTATAAAGTGCCCTATAACTTACAGTTGGAACCTCCTCCACAATTTAACCATTAACTTTTCAAATTTGACACCTAATCCATAGATATAAATCACGTTAGCAGGCTACTTTTTCCCTTTATCAATCTCTGTCTCTTTAAAGAACATTAAAGTCAAGCTCGACCTAAAAAGAAGTGATAAAAAGGAAATCAAACAAGGGCACTTTGTAAATGAAAGGATGTAGCTGCACAATGTTTAATAGTAAATCCAAAAGTCATGTAACAACACTAGAGCCAGGGTACTAATATGGCATTACAAAGAAGATGCTGCTTTCAGTTAATTATTTTGGACCTAGTTGACAACTTCTACTAAACCGCAGTGTTTTGAAACTACATTGATAAAATGCTTTCAAATGTGCCACATACATTCTTTTATTTGGTTCTAATTTTCTCATGTTCCTGGCATTGAAAAATCCCAAAGGGTATCATTTAATAGAGAAAACCCAAGAGACAATGGCCATTCATGCTACTGTTACAAATTCACATCAAATAAGAATCTGAACCAAAATAAAGAGCCACTCAATCCTTCAGATGAAAAGATCTTTGCACTTGACCTTTGTTCCAAGTTTAAAGTTGGTTCTATTTTATAGAAAAAATTAAATGCTGCCAAGGGAATTTGTACAAAGCATCCAGAATAAGACATGGAAAAATGAAGGCTTAATGCTATAACAGTGAACAAAAGTCACCCAATGACAAAGACTGACAGCCACCTTCAATTCAGAAGTGATGCCTCTGTCATCCTTTGCCTCAAAGTATTGATTTGTCTCAGCAAGGAAAGAAGTCTAATCCAACAAAACAGATATAGCAGTAAACCTATGATTATAGCCATCAAGGTTAACACAGGCAGAACACTTATCAAAATAGCATTTCTATTTATGTGGTTTTAACAGACTGATAACATTTGTTAAATGTCCAATAAAAAGTAAAATGTTTACCCTAACAACTGATTCAGTGACATAAAAACTCAAACTCAAAAATCTTGATAAATTAACAAAAATATATTTTTTTTAAAAATCAGAAC